TTCTGTGAATTAATTGCATGTGTAGACATGCTCAGAAAATAAGACGTTAACATTGGTATTAGTAACAACACTGTATCAGCTATACATCTGCAGTTCTGGACAGTTTTATAAGTGGTGTAGCTTTTTCTTTTTTCTTTTCTTTTTTTTTTTTTTTGTTATAAATTTTACAGATATCTTAGTTATCTTCTTAAGGTTCTGTGGCCTATATACCAGTTAATTTAACCTGGCCAAATATCTCGAATATTTGGAAGGATAGAAAGTTGGTCATTGTTATTATGTATAATGTAAATAAACAGTATACTGGCAGAACATGAAGTAGCTGGCACATTATAAGTGGTTTGGGTAGCAATAAGTAGATGTCTGTTCTGCTCTGCTACGTTCTGGTATTTGGTATTACTAGAAGATTAACTTAAACAGGCTGAAGGAATACACATTACAGATATGCAATAGCCCTTAAAATTAAAAGGTGAGCTAGTAAGCTTTTAAAATCAAATCTACAGGTTTGTAAAGACGGATTGTTATAAAGGCTAAATGTCATGGAAATGGCTGTATAGTGGTGTCAAGGTTATTTTGTCTATCAGGATAAGCGTTAGTTCTTTTAACTATAAAAAAGTGAATATTCAAGGCTTTTAAAATGCTACTAATTGCATTTTAAACAAGAGACTTGGTACAATTAGGCCTCCTCAAACTGAAATACAGAAATCTGGACTATTTTGACAAATGAAGAAAATAATTGGGGCCTTAAAAAGGATGTGAGAAGGGGATGCCTCAAGAGAGTGGTGGTAGGAAACATTCTCCTTATAGTTTTACCAGTGTTTTAGGAATTAACTGCTCTTTCTGCCATTTAAGCCTCTGATCTTATGGGACATTGAGACTTCATAAAGTACCATAAAAATAAGAGTAGCACTCGCAAAAATTGAGCAAGACTCCTGGTTATGGCTCTTCAGAGCAGGTGTGTTGAACAATTGAGATAGCAAGGTACTGCTAAAATGTGAGCACTTAATTCATAAACGCTAGTACAGCATCGGATAAAAGCGTTCATTAAAAAGGATTCATTAAAATAAAGTTGTTGTTTTAAAGCATTTTCATCTTGTTTAGCGTTGTGTTAGAAGTCTGAATATATAGACTTTGTTGTTGATAATTGTGGAAGTTTTTTTGTTGAAATGTTATAATGTTTTGCATATATTTGGGGTAGGTCAATAACTTACTAGTTTAAATTGCCTTTTATTGTGATGCTAGTACCTGTGCCCCCAGCGCATGAGTGTGGCTTTGCTGTTTAAGAGATTGAGGAAGTTACTGAGCAAAAATGTCGATCTATGAACAATTCTTGTACCTATCTAAACAAGGCAATTTTCAGTTTTTGCTTCATTATTAGCCTCTTCTGTTCTTTGTCAGTTATCTAGTGGGTTTCTTATACTCAAAGAAAACAAGTACCACTTTTTGTTTAAGTGTATATTTAAAATTCAGAAAGGATAAAACTATGACATTTCACATTGAAAGATCATTTTAGATGTAGAAATTTATGGACTATTTTAATTCCACTTAAGAATTTAAGTAATTCCATAAAAAACTGGCTTTCACAGTTACTTACAGATATGCCAATAAATGAAAAGGCTAGGAAAAAATGATGGGAAATGAAGTTTAAATCAGACATTTCTGACTATATGTATTTGTATTTATTTTCTGTTATCAGTTTGGTACTTGAAACATAAAATATGACCTTTGGGACTCTTTATGTTGTTGTTTAAATATTTGTAGCATGAAGTCATGTTTATAAAAGAAAACCTGTTTTGGTTTTGTTTTTTTCTCTAGACACAAGATTTTTATATACTAGTTTAAGAAACTTTCCTTTCCTTTATTCTGTGGTTCATGTACAAAACAAAGGCATATTTAATATTTTTCCCCTATAAAATACTGGTTCAGTAGAATTTAAAAATTGAATTCTAAACCTCTAGATTTGGAAGGAGATGATTTGGAGACTAATGGATTTTTTTTTTTTAAATACAGGGCCAGCTTTCAATATTGCAAGAAAAAATAGACCATTTAGAACGTTTGTTGGCAGAAAATAATGAGATCATATCAAACATACGAGATTCTGTGATCAATCTGAGTGAATCGGTCAAAGATGGTCAAAGGAATCCAGAGGCCATAAATTTCAGTCAAGGATCCTTCTCAGAACTTCTTCCATCTGCTCCAGTTTCCCTTGCAGTTGATCCTGAGGATTGCTCATTTGCATCAAAAAGTGGAAGTCAGGATTCAGATGTACAGGTAAGAAGCATGTGAATGAATATTAACCGTTCTGCCCTGGTCATTTTTCATCCCCTGCCATCTCCCCCTTAAGCTCCTTAGTTATAATCAACTTTTAATTTCCCTGAAGAGTTTTCCTGCTACCAGTACGCTACCTTAGTTGTAACTTAAGTCTTTCCAGTCCAAGGCAGCATGGAGCTGCTTTTGGTGCTGGTTATTATGTTTCAGTTAACTGAAGAGTATACTTCATCACACTTTCCCTTCATGTTCTTCCTGTTGGTATACATCTTAGTGGTGTTAGCTCCTGCCATACTGCCCAAAAATTTAATCAGGGTATGACAGCTCTGTAGAACACTACTATTTGGTTATAAAACCTCCCATCTGATGGTTTGAGCTCAGATAATTTACTGCCAAACATTAGAACAGATTATACTTTGGAAAGAGAGTATATTTTAATACATTAACTTTCTTTTTTTTCCTCCTCTTCCCAAACTTTTATAAATTATAACAATCAAATGGAAATACAGAAATTGCTTTTATGTGCTGCTTTTACAGATGAGGAGGTGTGTGGATTTTTTGGAAGAGGAGATGAGATGTGTGACAGGGGATAGGAAAAAAATCTTTTTCACTTTTGAATACTTACTCAAAAATTGCCTCAAAACATTTTAGGTTGAGGGGTTGTTTTTTTTTTGTCATGAAGTATCTATTACTTCAGTTTACTTCAGTATAGGCTGAGGGGATTTGCCATCTTTGAAAGTCAGGCTCTTTAAAGAAAAAAAAAAATTGATGCCTTTGATATGCATAGGATCTTTGAATTATCATTGTGCTACTGTTTTAAAGAACAGAGAGGACCCTTTGTGTGCTACATGAAGTCTCGTAACCGTATTATTATTCTGGAGGGATGGTGTGGATATCATGAGCATTCATAGATGAAGTTGGTGCTCAGTTCAAACCCTCTGAGGGGAGGGGAGGGCACCGGTCTGAGAGTTGAGGGGGATGTTCACAGCTACCAAGAGGAGGGGCAGGGGAGAGGAGAGGCATGGGTTCTCAGAGTGGTGGGTGGGGAGAGGCCAGCCATACGCATATCGGAAACTCCTAGTAAGTTGCATTCGAGTAGCTGCTGCTCCAGCTGTTGCTCTTAAAGCAGCAGCAGCAGCCAGGAACTGTTTGGGAGTTTTCAGCATGGGCGTGCTGCCAACGTGTGCACTTTACTGGGGTAGGGGGTAATTCTGGCACCCCTCCTAACTTGGACCCTGAGGCAGGTGTCCATCTCACCCACTGCTAGTTACACTACTGTTCATAATTGCTGTATGCAGATTTTAAATTGTCAAGTCTAGATCACTCAGATGAAAAACATCTGGAAGTAGGGGAGTTTTAACAGTAGGAAGGAGAGATGTTGGGCTCTAAATGGACTAAATGCAGACATGAAAATATTTGTAAAATCATATTAAAATGTTTATAAGCTCTTCAGGGATGCTGGCAGTTAATCATACTATTACTTCGCATATATATAAATAGCCATTTTTCAAAATCAGCAATGTACACAAGCATCATCACCAAAAATCCATATTACATTCAAAGCTTTATCTTAATACAAAAAAAAAAAAAGACACTGTTGAAGTTATAAATAAATGTCAATGACCACATTGGGGATTGGTGAGAGAAGCCTTTAAGAGTGTTGTAGTCTTAAAAAAGATGTCCAAGCTGCAAATATTCATTGAATTTTGAGGCCACATGGGTGTATTATGATAAATTTATTCTGACATCTTGCAGGGCTATAGAATTTCACCAAGTAATTCAGATATCCTCTTAAGCATATCTCCATTCTTTTAACAAAACATTTATTTTAACACAAATTTTTGGATTTAAAGACTTAAATGATGGGGTGATAACACCAGATTGGAACTTCATGTTCGGTTTGGTTATTTGCCATGACCTTCCCTTTGTTATACAATCACTGCTCCTGCAAGTGTGATTCTGCAGTATTTGTTTTAAGATATGACCTTACAGTTGACTGTGTTAATTCAGGGTTTTTTCAGTGAGACTAGCTAACTGGTACAGATTGCTCACGTACAGTGGTGCCTACCTCATCCCCCTCCCAGGTGGGGCTGGTCTGCAGGCTGGATGAGTGGTCTGGGGCCATGTCATCTGGCACAGAGGGCTTAGAAATTGGTAGTGGTAGTAGTGTTAACTGTTCTGGCTTCTGGAGCCCCAGCAGCTGCCACTCCTTCCAACACCAGATTTCCAACTTGATGGATCAGATGATGTGATTCCATGCTGTGTATCATGATTCCATGCTCTGCAGGCCTTCCCATGAGTCTGGACATTTGGGGGTGGGATGAGTAGCATTACTGTACTTACTTTATTCTAAGGTGATTTTTTTTTTCTCTATTTAGCATGGGCGGGGAAATCTCCTCATCTTAGAATTTAGTACAAGGGAAGTGCAGGGGCAGGTGGCTGTTGTGGCTTGGGCTCCAGCCTCTGCCTGTGTGACTGGAGATGTAGCCACAATTGCTGCCTGATTCTTCCCCTCTGTTGCTTCTGCACCCTGTCATCTCCCCACTGTCACCTCTTTCCCCCCACATCTCCCTACCTCCACGGCCTCAGCTCCTCTTCCCTTCCTCCCCACCTTTGTTCTGTGCCAGCAAGCTCTGTGCATGCTGCAGCCTGGGGCACTGAGCATGGCCCTAGCCTGGTCTTGTAGTAGTGGGCTAGACTAGAACTGTGCTCAGTGGATGGGGATGGAGCCTCCTGGCACAGAGCAAGGGTACATGTTGCGGGAGGGAGGGGAGGAGGAAGGGTGGGGATAGAGATGCTGGAGGAGAGGGGAAAGGGCAGCAGCAGAAGCTGGTGTTGGGGCAGGAGAGGTAGCACAGTGGGAAAGGGAAAGCTAAGGCTGTGGCGGTGGCAGGAAGGTAGGCACAAGCAAGGGGCAAGCTGATTGACCTCTTTGCTTGACTGCCCCATTTGCCCTTGTAGCAGTGGGGGGAAATGAAATAAAGACAACCCCTGAATAATTAGATTCTATACATGGAAAATTATAACAAATTTATAAATTTTCCATGTATACAGTGGCGATGTGTAGCGGGTGCATGGGGGTACACGTGCACCCCCTGAGAGCTCTGGTGCACCCCCTCTGTCAGAATTCCCCACTTAGGCGATGGGTGGGGGGGGAGGTGGGAGCACTGGTACCCCTCCTGAGAGTACCAACTGTGGAGTAGGGGTGCCAGGAGAAGCACTCCTGGCACTTCCGGGTGCACCCCTGGCCTATCCAAGCATGTTGCTGGCACTTCCAGGTTGGCGCATGTCTGGCAGGTCCGCATGATCAGTCACGGGGGACCCCCTCCTCCTGATCACTGACTGGCTGGTGGAGGGCAAGTGCCCACCCTGACTCAGGAGGCACCAGTCGCCCATGCACGTATATTTAATTTAATGTTAATATTTAATTATTGGAGGGTTGCCTTAAATTCAGGGTTGTCTTGAATTCATGTAAACATGGTAATCGCTGCATCACCAGAACCTGCAGCTATCAACACTATCATGCCACCGAATTTCCAGACCCGTGGGGTATCTCCATCATCCCCGCCATGGTGTGATTTGTGTTTTGTTACCGTTTATTCTTTACCACTTTGCATATTATTGTCATTTGCAAACTCCATCAGTGATTATTTAAATTCTTCTACATCTTTGACAAAGATATTAAATAACTTTGGATTGAAAATATTGCTGTAGAGAAACCCCACTAGAAATGCCGATATTGGATCATGATTCTATGTTTATGGTTACTTTTTGAATTATGTTTATTGCATCATGTCCTAGGTGAAATGCTTGAGAAAAGTGTGAATATACTGTGTGAGCATAACTTACTTAATAAACTTGCAAATTTTTTTTTAAATGAATTTGTTTGAAAAGACTTTTTTAATGATTAAAATTTGTTGGATGGCATTAATTTTATTATCCTATGACTTTTTACTGTATCAACCTTTCCATTTTTGTCTGTGATTGTTGGGCTAACTACCTTATGGTTACCTATATCATAAAAAGATAAATGGTTTAGACCATTCTTGGGCTGTTTCTTTTAAAATTCCTGGGTATAAGTTTGCCTGGCTCTGCAGTCTTAGAAGTATTCAGTTTTAAATCTTGCTTTTTAGTGTCCTACTGTTCCAGAACAAACTAGGGAAGTAACTGGATAGGCAAGGGTGTCATGCTAGGAGCTTAAAAATCTCCCAGAAGAGTAAGCGAGAGAGGAGCTCCCACAGAGCAAGCATTAAGCAAAACAGCTTACTACAAAGAGGAGCTAGACTGCTGTTCCTGGGCCAAAGACAAAGGACTCCCCTCCTTTTACCCGGGGCAGAAGCATTTTGTTTTGTTTATTTGTTTGCTTGTTTGCTGCCTAAATACTGTGAGTTATTTGGGAGGACTAGCTGAGTGGCTTCTCATGGAGCAGAACCTGCCTGCAGATGCCAGCAGGCTGGGTAGCTTGCTACGTGTGCACTTTAAACCTCATTACAGTATATTTAAAACCTAGAAAATGAACCATGAAAATTAATGTAAAAGTTTTCATTTCAGTAGTCATCCTTGTAACTAGTACAAAAATTAGTCCAAAACACATTTGTATACGTTTTAAGAATATACTTACATTATCACCTTTTATTTCCTTGCAAAATAATTTGATTTACAATATGTAACCTGTATTTTTTCCAAGTTTTTCAGCATTTACTTTGGTGCTTCTCAGTCAGGATGAGTTTGTACACACAGAAAGCGAGCTTCGGACAGGGGCAAGCAATTATTTTGGGCAGGGGGCGGCTTACTGAGTTTTGGCAAGCCATTGAGGATCACATGACAGGCAGCTAGGGGCAGATAAATATTAATTTTCTAAATTTTTGAGGGGCCCCGCTGGCTGCATTTTGCCCACCTCTGGCTTAGGATATATGGATGTTACAGGGCAAAACTTGAAAACAGGAACCAGCAGCCAGAATAGCTAGTACTAGTTTCAGGCCAGTACCATACAAATAATTCTT